ATTTAATTTCGAGCAATCCAAAGAAGAGTTTACTGGAATAGAAATCGTCAGGTCGTCAGCATACTTGATAAAATTAGTTTCAACAGAATAAGGCAAATCGTGCAAAAAAAGGAAAACAGAAAAGGAGAAAGTACAGCACCTTGAGGCACACCAGCTTCAGTAAGCAATGAAGTGGAGCGCATCCTTTATGAATAGTGTACTGTTTCCTTTCAGAAAAATAAGAATGCAGCCATTTTGTAACCCATGGATCAGTGTGAGCTATGGCAAGCTTATTTAACAAAAGTGGTCTAGGAACAGAGTCAAAGGCTGATGAGTAATCCAAAAAGGCACAACGGACATACTTAACACCTTTGTCGAGACTAGAAACAATATTATGATGCAAGACAGTAGCTGCATCTAAAGTACTCCTCCGGTGTTTGTAAGCAAACTGTTTTGGATCTCTGAAGGCCATCAATGAAGGCTCAATCACAAGCAGAAGTAATTTCTCCATTGTCTTCAGAAAAGGGGAAGTTATAGCGATGGGTCGAAAAGTAACATCTGATCCAGAAGATGGCTTAGGCACAGGTACAATTTTTATCTGCTTCCAAGCAGTGGGTATTATGTTTTTAGAGAACGATACATTGAAGATATCTGTAAGTGGATGACACAAAATATCTGCACATTTTCTAAATATGATACTAGAAACACCATCAGGACCTAAGCTTTGGGAGGGATTCAAAGACTTTAGACATTTAAATACATCATTTGTATTGAAACCTGGAAAGCAGCTATCCACTTGATTTTGCACATTAGGAAGGGTGAAATTAGCTTGCCGACGTATAAATGACTTGTTTAACGCACAGACATCCGAACGAGTTTGTGTTGTCATCTGTTTTTTACCAGTAAGCTCTTTAAATAATTTCCATATATTGGAAGAGTTCTTACACGATAAGAACTTCTGGTTGTATATAGTATTCAGACGTTGTATTTCAGACTTAATTAGGCAGTTAAGCCTTTTAACGCCAGGGTGATCTCTCGCCTTATACAACCTTTCCTTTTCTCTCCGAAGCCTCTTGAGATGAGGAGAGGAAAGTCTGTCAAATCTCATGTAAATTGTTTCAGTAGGGCAGCAGATATCGAGACAGAATCTGAGATAGCTTGTGATATTGGTAATAGTGTTGTCTAAAACTTCATCAGCAAATATATCCCAGTCCGTTTCTATAAGCATGCTTCTCAAACGTAATATATTTTCTTGTGAATAGCATCTGTATTGAACTTTCCTTGAAAGGTATGCAAAAGCTTTCTTGTATAATTTTCCGTACACTTTAGGCAAAACACGAACGATACAGTGGTCGGAATTAGCAGTGGAGCCCGTTTACGGGCTTCATATATGCCAGGTTCATTTGTAAATGCAAAGTCTAAGGTGTTGTCAAGACGAGTGGAAAAGTTAACCATATTTTTATGACCCAATGATAATAGAAAACTGTAGTCACATGAGTTAAAATCACCACAGACAATAGACAAGGAGTTTCCCAGAACCGGAGCAGCAAATTCAGTGAATTTATCAGCAAAAGTTGACAAATCTGAGAAACTGCAGTCAGGTGTGACATACATGTTTGTGATATATATGTATTTGTATTTGCTCAAATGTTTGGGACGACATTTGATGGTAATGCACTCAATTTTTTCGTTAGAGAAGCAGAAGCATACATAGTTGGAGGACGACCAGTTAGTACTAATAAATGTTGCTACACCACCACCACATTTCTTCTTCGAAAAGCTTCGATCTTGTCGAAATAATTTGAAACCATCTAAGCAGACTAAGTCATCATCATACAGATTATGAAGCCATGTTTCCTGCAGCATTATTACACCCGTGTTTCGATAAACATTTGTGGACAAGAGTGACTGAAGGTAATCAACTTTATTCGGCAACGACCTGCAGTTTGTGCTAAGTATTTCCGGAATAGTCATTTGATCTATGGTCATACGCTTCAGAGCTCGTTGCCATCCACCGTGGTGCTTCTTCTTAAATTTCCTATCAACTTGCGAAGCGATAGGTTGTAATGATTTTAAAAACGCGCGAGAATATACAATACGATTGGTTGACATAATTAAACGATTAAAACAATATAGAAATAAGAAATTTGATGCAATATACTCGATGATAGAAAACGGTAGCCCAGAGTTCAAGCAGGCCGCCAGAAAAGTTTTACTGACTGTAATATTCTGTTAATGTATGTAGATAATGCGCTGATTGAAATCAAGAACTTCGCAAACAAGAACTTGGAAAGCAGTAAACGTATCAATTAATTCACAAATTTACTGCGAACACTGCCACTTAATAATGGTTTGTCTTCTGTGAGTATGAACAGTTTAGGCATATTATTTCTGAAAACCTGTTAATTGAGTGTATAGACGTGTATGGATGTTAAATATCTGCACAGACAGATATCAGATGACTACAATGAAACTTGTAGTATATGCTTTTAATTGAAAATGATGGACTTTGGGGGAAAACGCCAAGTCAGTAACTAACAAGACACATATAAACTTGGAAATACCAGATCGAGATAATAGAAGAAGAAAGTATCATCACACCAGTTATTGATTCGGCATACATAGTAATCATTTTAACATTTTAAAACGTTTACCAGTTTTTAAATTAAATTAGGTCTAGTAAAATTAAATATAATTAAAAACTATGAAGAATCTTTGTATTTTCTAGTGTGGATCTTTAACTTGAGTTGTTCTTCGAGTTGATGTCATTATCAAATGCTTTAACATCAAACAAGGTGCCATCATCAGCGGATCAGAGCTCCCCTTCTTTGTCGAAATCTGACACACTGTTGGTTGCGTTTAACATAACAGTGAAACGTATGATAACGGAAGCAACTCAGAGAAGAATTTAGTCCGAACATGTGACTAGATTCTGAAAATAAAATGAATGCAACATTGTTCTTTTCCTAAAATCAAGCACAAACTGTCTTACTGGAGTAAAGCTCCTTTTATAATTTAGAAAAGGATTTTACTGAACGAACAGAACTCTCCTTACAATAGAATACTCATTAAGTTCAAAGTTTATATCACTATATTTAAACAGTAAGTGTGTAATAACGAAGATGAGATTTTGATAGTTTCGTATTAGCATGGGTACTAACATTCATGCACAAAGTTGTTTACTATATTTTATTCCTACTCTTCTTGCACGTGTATTTGCCGATATAAAGTTCATTATTCAAGTGAACGGAATTTATCTCAATATTATCAACGACATAAGTTTCTTCTGAAAAAAACTTTCATATCATGTTACATTACCGTTATATTTCTATGAAAACCTCAATGAATTTCGATAAATATCTATTTCTGGGCTAACCTATAAGAGAGATGAAATGTAGAATTTCAGGAGGAAGTTTGGAAAGCAGTACTTTCGACTTACTTGGCTGAACACATATATGTATATATCCATCTGAATTACGAAGCAGAAAAAGTCTGTCAAATTTAACCATGAGGATACACGCCTAATTATTTATATACAAAGACTATTTCAGCCTAGTGATACTCAACTTTTGAAAAATTCTGGAGCTTTTCTCATCAGCTCAGCTTTATAGTCTGTTGGCTTTGTTTTTTTTCGAATGAATTCATTTTAAAAATAAGGTTACTCATAAATTTGCTTAACAGTCGTTTGCAATCTTTCTAATTATCCTGTGTGTTTCCTTTTTAATCATAATGTAATAAGAAAGAATGCCTTTGACAGTGGACTTTTAGTGATTGAGTTGGAATAAAGAGTAACGTGATGGAGGACTGCAAGAAAAAAAGCATTTTACTCCCACGATCATGATACATAAGTTATTTAACAGCTTCAACTGAAAGTCACAGTTAATTGTGATTTGTACTATTATGAATATTACTTTTCAGTCCTCGTTCTGAAAATGCGACCATTCAACAGTCTGGTATCAAAAGATATTCATCCAAGTACATAATCTTTCAGTTTCGAGTATTACGGAGATTTTTTTATTTTGAGTTAGTTTTTTAACGAACCAATATCAACTTAGGAACCATTTTATACATCTGGGAGCACTGGACAGCTTTTTCGTTTTAGCGTGGAGGACCTCAACACTGCTCACCAACAGCACTGCCACCGATCAAACTACAGTATCACTGTACCACTAAAGAGCTTGGGTTCAGTTTTCGGCGGAGTTATGAGTGTTCAATGCTAAAGGTCCCCACACTAGGACGAAACAGCTGACCAGTCCTCCCAGGTTTTCTATGGTCCTTCAGTTGATATCAGTCCTTAAAGAATACAGAAACAAAATGTTTTTTAAAAGAGTTGAAACTCAGCAATGATTTCTACCTTATCTCTTTTCTACTTGAAAATATTTTCACTTAAATCATTTGTACACTGTTGACCGTAACAGTTGAAGACTAAGGTATGTAAACCAAGACAGTTACTGAAGTATTCCATCTAGGTTCTAAACCTTTCATACTTACCTTATTCTGCAAACCTCGTATAGGTTATCCTGATATGAAACTTCAACGTACCGTTATATATCAGCAATTTATGTGGCATATCTTTTGAGTATGTGATTTGACATATCTTGTGAAGGAACATACTCCTGGCATCTAAAACAACACGTGATTATCCTGTGTTACGAAAATAACACTCGAGTGACAATTTACTTACCAGCAGTCATTCACAATTTTTTTACTGTTGAATTCGTTCGTAATGGAGACTAACTATTTGTATTTTAGAAATAAATAAAGCTACCCGGAGACTTCTGCATTTCAATTAGGATAGAAATGAATTCGGAAGTAGCCAAGATTCGAGTCAAGGGTTAAAATTTGTTTCAAAATTTAAACATCTCTGTGTAGAAATACCAATCTGTCAACTAAGATCATCTTGGATGATTCATTCTTTGCTTTTAATGAATCTTGAACATACTAAATGATGTTTTTCACTTTACATGGGGTTTTTGTGTTCATTTCAGACTATTCACATAGTTGAAGAATAAACGGAGAAAATGCTATTGCAGTTATCAATTTATGCACTCACTTTGTTCCTCACCAGTCAAATTTATTCCAGTGGTAAACGGAATAACCTTATTTACAGCAATTCATTATACACCAATCGTTCTAATCTGACCAATTATTACTCCAGATCGTACCACACACTACCACTTGATGATGTTAACAATGACCCATCGATTATGGATGACTACTCTCATTCAAATCTTAACTTCAACTGGAAATCGAGTACAAGTAATAAGAAAACTGATTGGGCTGAGAAAAGACTTATCAAGGATCTATTGTATGATTATGAAAAAGAGTCTAGACCAGTTGTTGATGGGCTGACACCAAGAGTACACTTTACAGCAACACAAGTAGCACAACAAATTACTGTTGAATTCGGTTTAGAATTATTACAAATATTAGACTTAGATGAAATGGATCAAATTCTTACAACAAGTGTTCGATCGTTGTATGTAAGTTAATTATAAAAAGGTTTTACCAATTATTATGCTTTACTCTGTCCTACTTATTCATTTTTTAACTGTACATAAGGAATGGAATTATTAATAGTTAACGGCAAATGCTCTAATACATATTTTTTTTCAGGACTGTAAATACTAACGAAATGGTTCACACTCAGGATTATACAACATTAAACTAATCTCTCTCCCGCGACCAATCATTGTATACTACCGAAACCATTCAACTTCACACAGCATGGAATGTGAAGGAGTGTTCATAAGCACCTGAGTCTCTAAGTAGCAACTTCCTCTAAATAGACTAAAGAAGAAAGAACATAACCCATTTACAATCACCTAAAGTAGTAAGCAGATAGACTTTAGTGGCACAGTGGCTGTGTACTAGCAAAAACTCGGATTCTGGATGACACTAGATGAAAACCTTTCATTATTATCATACAGTAGATAAATGTATGTCATAAATCTTAGAAATTAGTAATTACAATGTTATTCAACTAATGGTAAGAACAAACTTTTTGCCATAAAAAAAATAAATGATTCCACCATCTCTGAATTAAGTAATCAGAAATAAGCGAATTTTGGCTGGTTAGAGACAAAAGAATTTCTTTCGTTCTGTTATATCTCTGCAGTGACTTGATATAGCTTGCGTTATATATATATATATATATATATATATATATATATATTCGCATTCCATCACTTGTTGGTTGCTCGGTTTCTCGATATATGGAACAGTCGGTAGCAAAATAGAGTGCATTTTAACGTCAAAAATGCATACAAAATGCAAGAATTTACCTTGGTCTTAACAATTCATTTTGTTGATCTTGTCAATTTCATTTCACTTCACTTTAGTATACTTTTCTTTCATTATCACCAACTTTCACTTCATTGACAACATTTAATCCATATTTCACTGTTTAATATCAATTCATTCCTCATTCATTGAACTATTGTACACGTTTCAGCTTAATTATCACCGTTTTATAATTCTTTGACAGCACTTATCGTTTATCTCACCATTTGTTATCAATTCGTTCCTCCTTATTCAGTGACCCATTTTCTATCTCTTCCACTTGAACAAATACCACCACCTCCACCGATTGTATATTTTGTATATTGACTGAACGACTTTTTAGTGCAATTATCCGTCATTTTATTAAGTATAACTACGACTGTACAACTTGATAATGAAGTCGTTGAAAAGAAATATTTCTTCGTTGTTACATATCTTTTTCTTATTCATGAACAAATGGGTATATTTCATCAATCTAAATATTTTACAATAGCCTTGAGTATTTGTAGGCCTTTCTAGTTCATAATACGTTCCTTCTACACCTAATATAATGTGGTTTCCGCTAAAAATTAGATTTTGATTTCAAGGGGCGATAATTGTAACAGTGATCAGCGTGCTGTGATCACCACGTTTATTGAAATTGTCAGTTACAGTTCAAGAAATTAGTTAATGTAGGTGTAAAATTTAAGCACTGTGTTATAATTTAAGTTCATATTAGATACGTCTGTCTGACACAAGGCACATCAATATAGGATTATTTATTAAAGAACAATTCAAGGATTATTCATTGGTCATGTAACACGTCATATGTTGTGAATATGAATGTAGACTATAATTCGAGAAATGGAGATTAAGAGCGATTGAAGCTGTTACATGCCTTGAGGAGGGACTTAAATCTACATTCAATTAAATGTGAGGGCTCAGGAAGTTGAAATTAGGGTTACGGTTTAGTAATGAAGTGTATAATTCAGTCATAAAGACGAAATATGTTATTAATTCCTTATTTCTTCCTCCACCTGTGTAGAAATGCCGGCAGACATGATCCTTAGTGCAAAATTGTCATTTAAAATTTGATTTCTTATCATTTTGGGAATGCATCTCCTAATCAGCTAAATATTTATTTGTGTCATGGCACTGTGTACGGTGTAGAGAAACTCAGCTAGTCAATCAAGCTTGGCAACAGATTTCTGTTCAATTTAATCGTTGACTGTGTTTTTGCGAGTTGTGAATTGACGAAAATTGCGTCTTAGGATCAAAATCAACAAAATTGCCGGTTAGCATTTGCGTTCATTAATATGAAATCCTTTGCGATAAGGATGGTATAGGTAATAATTCGGAAAATGCATACTGTTAAGTTTTACATGCTGTTTCCTCATATTACTTCTTCTAAACTCCTTCGTGAACTGTAGTTCTCTTTTCAACCACAACAAATCAAGCCCAACCTTAGTACTCTGAGAGACTAGATCATCAAAGTAAAGTCATTCCATTTTGATGTTTCAGGTCAGTGAACTGACTTTTCTTTTAACTAATAAAGCTATTCTATGGACCTGCCAAGGCCACCCAGATTGCAAAAGAGATGAGGAGGTATGGCATGGAAGTGCTTGGAACCTGCGAAAGCAGATGGAATGGAAGCGGAGTCTCCAAACTGTGAAATAGAAAGTAAATAATCTACTCCGATATTGTCACCCAGACGACAACCACGAGCACATTGAGTTTTCGAGTGGCTGTCATGATGTCCCCAACAGCATCAAAGGCTCTCAGGCAACGGGAACCCATCTCCCCCTGCAGGATCACGACAGCAAGATTCAAATGAAGAGGAAGGAAAGTCACAATCATACAATGCTACGCTACGCATCTACAATTAATGCAGATGAATAGAAGAAGGAGGAATTTTCCAGAAAACCGCAATCAGTACTAGACAAGACTCCAGATAGCAACATCAAAATTCGAATAGGCGACATGAATGCCAAAATGGGAGCAGACAACAGAGGAAGAGAACTCGTTATGGGTCGAGAAGCACTCCACAAAATGAACGAGAATGGAAAACTGTTTGGAGACTTCGGTGCATTCAACGATCTGGTGATTGGAGGTTATGTGCACAAAAACAAGGATATTCAAAAAGCGACAAGGAAACAATTTCACCAGATGGACACACTAAAAATCAGATCGGCTTCATCTCAATCTCAGGAAAGTGGAGACGCAGCCCACTGAACACAAGATCAAGAAGGGGAGCAAATGCAGGCTCAGACCACTATCTAGTGCAAGGAACCTTCAAAATCAAGTTGAAAGATTTCAAGAAAGTTGGTGATAGACGGCCACAGTCCAGGTTCAACACTCAGAATGGAAACTGAAGGACTAAACTACAAGAAACATCTTCACGGCAGCCATCAAGACAAAATGGGAGGTATCGAGCAACGTCCCTGAGGAAACCTGTGTGGAAGAACACTGGAACCCTGAGAAAGCTATGTAGGATGAAACCTACATAACCGTATTTAGGAAAGAAGAAGGAAGAAGATTATAATGGATCTCGACGAACACATCGAAGCTTATCGAGTAGGGAGAGAAGGATGGTGGAGCAGATGAAAAACCAGTGCAGTGCTAGGCTGAACAACGAAAACAGGAACTGAGTACAATGGATAAAACACTGCACTGGACAAAGAAGTGAAGAAGAGTGCACGGAAAGATAAAAGACACTTTTACGAAACACTGGCTAGTGAAGCAGAACAGGCTGCAGGTAGGAGAGACAGAGACCTGACAACATTGTATCAAATAATCAGGTTACTATCTGTGGGATGGGGAAGAGATCAATACACATGAAACCAACGAAAGATGATGAAGAAGACCTAGTTATCAAAGAAGGAGGATAAACAGAGGAAACAGTGGGCTGACCACTTCAAAAAACTCTTGAATCGACCACCACCACCACCTCCTGCAACACGTCTGCAAATACCACCAGCAGCTCAGTCACAGAATTAACAGTGAACACAAGCCCTTAGACAACATTCGAGGTCCTGAACGTCATGAAGCTAATGGAATTCGGGAAAGCAGCGGGACCAGATGGAATTCCACCAGAAACACTGTGAACAGACGCAGAGACATCAACGAACATGCTCACACCACTACTGCTGAAGGTTTTCAAGGAAGGAAGGAAGGAAGGACGGACGGAAGTAAAAGTACTTGCCGGCTGACTGGAAGAAGGTCTACCTTGTCAAACTCGCAAAGAAATGAGACCTAAGTTTTTGCAAGAACTGGCAAGGAATCATGCTTCACTTCTGTCCACCTCAAGCAAAATATTTATCCGCATCATCCTGGAGAGACTCAAGGATGCACTGGATTCAAAACTACAACCAGAACAGACTGGCTGGCTTCAGGAAGTACAAGTCATGTGCGGATCAAACTGCAATGCTACACTACGCATCATAGAATAGAGTATGGAATGGCAATCAACTCTCTACCACACCTCAACTTCGTCGACTTGGAAGAGGCCTTTGACAGCGTCGACCGAGAAGTAATTTGTCAACTGCTCCAACACTACGGAGTGTCACAAATATTTCTCAACCTCATTCAACAGCAGCTATATGACGATGCCACATGCCAAGTAATTCACAACGGGAGGCAGCTGAGTGACGCCTTTGAAGTGGAGACAGGAAGGAGTAAGACAAGGTTGCCGCCTACTATCACCCATCTTCTTGCTGATTGTGGTTGACTGAACTGGACTGGATCATTCAACAAACAACTGTGAGTTGTGAGGAGATGGGAGTATGCTGGCTGGACCGATGCGATGAAAAGACCCTAGAAGATGTCACCGATGATGACTTATGTCTGTCTGATGTCGCATAAACTCGAAGATCTACAGGTAGAAGCCAACAAGTTGACAGAAGAAGCAGAGCAGGGCAGAGGAGAGCAGCGAAGACGGGACTTCCTTCAGGTGAACGTAGAGAAAACAGAGATGATGAAGACACCCAACCAACAACAACAGGCAGCAATCACCATGAAGGAGAGAAACCTAGAGGAAGTTGTCTCGTTCACCTACCAACCTAGGCAGCATCATCTCAACTACAGGTGATACAGATTAGGATGCGGATGGAGCCAGGATCGAAAAGGCAGTAGGACAGAGCTTCATTCGCATGAAACCAGTGTGGAGATCTACTACACTGCACTCAGCATAAAGCGTGAACAAGATCCGGATTTTCAACACTTACGTCGAGTCAGTGCTTCTATGTGGTTGAGAAACTTTGCGTGTTACGGAAAGCATTTCCAACAAAATGCAGGCATTCATCAACAGCTGCCACCTGCATTCAATACTGAAGATCAGATGGCCATAATAATGTGAATCAGCAACAAAGAACTCTGGCTGGCTGGTTGGCTGGCTGGCTGGCTGGCTGGCTGGCTGGCTGGCTGGCTGGCTGGCTGGCTGGCTGGCTGGCTGGCTGGCTGGCTGGCTGGCTGGCTGGCTGGCTGGCTGGCTGGCTGGCTGGCTGGCTGGCTGGCTGGCTGGCTGGCTGGCTGGCTGGCTGGCTGGCTGGCTGGCTGGCTGGCTGGCTGGCTGGCTGGCTGGCTGGCTGGCTGGCTGGCTGGCTGGCTGGCTGGCTGGCTGGCTGGCTGGCTGGCTGGCTGGCTGGCTGGCTGGCTGGCTGGCTGGCTGGCTGGCTGGCAACAAACCAACCAAGAATCCATCACCCAACAAATATGCAGAAGAAGGTGAAGATGCATTGGATTGGACATACACTGAGAACGCCGACTGAGGACATCGCACAACAGGCCCACGAGTTGAACCCAGATGGGAAACGACCAGTTGGGAGCCTGAGTCAAGAATGACATGGAGGAGATCATGTGAGGAAGAAATGAAAGCTTGTGGGTAGTCGTAGTGCCAGGTTCAAAAGACTGTAGAGAAAACAGTGCACTGGTGACGTGCTACTGAAGCCCTATGTTTCACTAGGAACCATAGGGAAAAATAAATAATAAAGATATTCAGTAGTTATCCTTCCACAACCATTATAAACATCAAACAAAGGTGACTACTGATGTCAAGCAGATGCACGAAGTTGAGAAATTGTCCGGTAGGTATGTAACGACTTTATCCAGAAGGTTTGTTGCGGCGTTAATGAATCTTCTGCACCATAAATCTTCACAAACTCATAGAACACTAGAAAAAGTGATAATGAACAAATGCAAGGTAGTCCATTATTGTATTAAGCGTAGCAGACTACCTAGAGAGAATCATATTACAAGCAGCATAAGATTGAAGTTGAACTCAGCAACTGAAAACGATATGCAAATATGGCAAAAACGTAATATCACCTAATTTACACAGAGCAGTCAACCGATATTTACTCATAGCCAATTTTTTTCTATGCGGAAGTTAGACTATAGTTTGCGAAACCCAAATGTATAAACCATTGGTGTTTCTCTGAAGGATACAGAAGCTTACCTTAGGAAAACTACCCATTTTACTAACCTTGTGATCGGATATTATATTTCTGTAAACAAACATAATATTCCAAAACATTTTGCTTCTACCTAAGCGGTTGTAGAAATCAAGATAAAGCTAACTACACAAATGCAACTGTCAACAAGTGTGACTCTACAGTGGGCCAATCACTGTGTAAGTGATTTGCAAATTTCACGGTCCACATTGACATTTTTCACAGTTGAGTAGTTTTTTAATTGCCCAACTTTCATGTCAGCAGTCTTTCCGATGGAAACCTTCTGTCAGCAAAAATCACATGGTGTGATCTCTGACATTAGTGTCATCAACTAGCGAAACACACAACTGTATAGAACAACTTTATTAGTTAGAAACCACTCACTATGACCTGTTGATTTCTCTAGCCAGATAAAAGTGGTCTAAACACCGAACGGCCATTGTGCTCGTTTGGGGTTGGGCTTATTAATAGTATACACGGACAAATTCGGCCCACAGTAGGTCTGAAACGCTTGGCTCTGTGAGCTGAATTTGTCCGGGTATACCATTGATGAGGTCAGTTCCAAACGAGCCAAACGGCCTTACAATGTTTAAATCACTCTGGTCTGGCTGATAAAATCAACAGATCAACCCAATTAGTTTCTAATTTCTCAACTTGTTCAATAGTATATTTCGATATTTCCACCAGTTGAATGACTACAATAGTATCTCCAATATTTGTGAATGTAAAAGTGAACTTATTGACTTAGCCAAAAAATAAAAATGGGTGTTGGAAAATGAAGATAGTCAAACTCTTCATTGCATTTGGATCGAACATACTAATACCTTAAAAAAGAAGTCAAATAAATGTTAATAAATAAAGCAAAGTATCAGAGAATGCTTATTCTTATTGACAGCATAGTCGAACCTCAAGATAAGAAGATAAAAGAAACATCTTGTTTACGCCCTAATCTCTTATTGTTTTTATGCTTATTAATCCTGTTAAACTAAGTTCATTAGATGATATAAAGTTACAGCTTAGAATTCACCATATGTTTTTGCCGTACTCCAGATGGGAGTATTAAGAAATTTCGTGACCTTGAGTTCATATTCATAAGGTGTTTTCTTGAGAAGTTTATCAGTTAATCAGTTGTTTGAGCGAATTTCGTTATAGATAAACAGTTTATGCCTTAAATGAATTATGATATTCTCATAGAAGTGAAAATGTTTGATAGTAATAAAAACACTTTTCTACATATAACCTAGTCTGTGACATAATAAGATTGAGTCTCAGTTGATCTGCATGTTATTTAATGCCGAAATAGGTGCTATGAAAGGTGAAACTGATTACGACAGCGTGTAGAATAAATTCACGAGAATAACCGTAATTTGTAATACACATTGTCTTTACTCCATTGTCCCTGATCAAGGTCATCATGCTTGACTCAGCAATCTTTGAAAATCTCATTCCCCTCCATATTTCAAAACTTACTGGTTAGTATTTCATTTGTACAGATGAGTATTCTTGTTGCCTAAAAACATAAAGCGATAAGAATTATAATTAAAAGGTAGGAGTATACTTTTCAACTTTTAAACCTTTCTTTGGGTGTGTATAACCAATCATGGTTGAAACTACAATCATTTTCTGTGAAACGTACCAGATCTTGTTTACAGATGAAATATGAACATCTGACTGATTGCAACCTTTCAATTACACTTTTTTTCAAAGAAGTAGGATATTTTCGTGGTCAGTTAACACAAGTTTGTTTTTACACTTAGCTCTAAGACTAATATAACAATAAAGCATATTCGATCCGTACACATTTTGACGTAGTTGCCAGTACAACAAATGAAATTTAAGCACTGCTCTTATGAGGATGAATGACCAATGAAAAACAAAAATTCTGGATTAATCTAATATCAGTTAATATTTCACAGTTAGTCTTGATATTCAAAACCAGATCAATTATTCGCTTCTCTTTTTACCTACCATACTGTGTTAGTCAAAAATATACTAGATAATTAATAAGACTGGATTTAGAAAGTCAGAAACTTTGAAGCTGAGTGCTGAGTAAGATAAATGGTAACTTTATTCACGGTACATGTTGAAGTATTTTATGTAAATTAAATTAGAAATATGCACATATACTTACACACATCTAATTAGTGTCTACCTTGAAGAGATATAAAATAATAGAACAACTTTGCCTATAAATAACTTTATGTTTATATACAAATCTTTCCTTTTATAAACGAGAATGAATCCGTTTATCATAGAAATAAATCCAAATCTTAACAGAACATGATAAAAGAAAAACGATCCATGACTCAAAGTGATACTCATGAGCATTAAAAATTATATTTGGAGAACTTTATGAATCACTCAGTATGTAAGCACAGATACTGAACGGTGTGAATTAGATGGTCAACAAATACATTGACATTTAAATATCATTTTAAATTCTGTCTACTACTCATGATCCAGTTTGACAATCATACGTGATTAGTAAAAGGATAAAACGATTAGAAATGATCCTAAAGACTAGGATTTGGGTCTTTATTTCATCCCATATATAAAGTGTTTTGTTAACTGAGTTCCTTCTTTCTCCATCATGTTGTCATTTTCAGCGCACTTTCGAACAAACCAGGAATAGGTATATCCTTAAAACCGGCACTTCAAAAATGGGAATTTCAATAGTCCATGAATTATTCATTTACATTTTTGCCCCACTGACATGCAGACGGAGGAAAAAATAGTTTCCTATTCGACAACTGTATTCATTGTGAATTACCGTCAACGAGTATATGCACTGGAGTGAATAGCGTAATTTTGACCAGTATAGTTTATCTTCATGATTTCCTGTTTACAAGTTATATATTGCACAATAATATAATACGTTTTTCCTTCGAGCAATTTTCTGCAAAAGAAATTGTTCATGCTCATATAGCAATGTAAGTAGTTCTGCCATTTTAGGAAATTAACTTTAAATCTACCTTGATACTACACATTTTACGTTCATTATTTGATCCTATCAAGTATTCCTTGTACATGAGTGATTACATCAGTAGGTTGCATTCTTCTTCTTTTACATTTCGTATGCAGATGAGACTGATCTAATTAATAACACCTCTTATTTAAACGTAGAGAACTGAGCAGCTCATGGAAACTAAGACACATTTTGAGGATAAAGTAGTGTGTCCAATACATTTTTACATGTCTCATCATATGTTTTTTCTACCTGAAAATTCAGAAATGGACTGACCACAATTTAATTTGGAATCCCAACGATTATGGTGGTATTGATTCTGTAACTATACCTGTAGAACACATTTGGATACCTGACATTCTATTGTACAATTAGTAAGTTTTTCTATGTAACTGAGTAACAAACAGTTATTGTAACATTTTGGTTTTAATGTAAATAAATTTTCGGCATTGTTTGGCATGTTATTTGTGATTTCAACAAACTACGGACATTCATCAACAGCTGCAGCCTACACTAACTCGATAATGAAGATCAGATCAGAAGGCCAGAAAGAATAAGCAACAAGGAACTCTGGCTGGCTGGCTGGCTGGCTGGCTGGCTGGCTGGCTGGCTGGCTGGCTGGCTGGCTGGCTGGCTGGCTGGCTGGCTGGCTGGCTGGCTGGCTGGCTGGCTGGCTGGCTGGCTGGCTGGCTGGCTGGCTGGCTGGCTGGCTGGCTGGCTGGCAACAAACCAACCAAGAATCCATCACCCAACAAATATGCAGAAGAAGGTGAAGATGCATTGGATTGGACATACACTGAGAAGGCCAATTGGGGACATCATGCGACAGGCCAAACCAAGCCGTCGAGTGGAACCGTGTGAGAAACGACTAGTTAGGCGTCTGAGGTGAGGGTGACGTGAAGGGGATCGTGTGAGGGAGAAATGAAAGCTTATGAGTAGTCGTGGAGTCAGGTTGAAAAGACTGAAGAGAATATAGTGAAATGGAGACGTGCTACTGAAGCCCTATGTTCCACTAGGAACCCAAGGGACATATGGTAATAAATTGGCATGTTGAGCTATCTAGGTTATGAAAAAAAAGACTGATGTTTCCAGCTTTAAATGAATGCACTTTCTTCACAACTAAACCGAAAATTCTGTGACTTAATAACTACATTGGTTATCTTCCGACTGAATAATTTACATAATCAATTCTCATCAGAAGTCAGTTGTAGACAGAGAAGCCTAATAATAAAACTTCTTATGTAAATACTGAAAGACTCAGATTGCAACACTTGAAAGAATAAGAACTACGTCAGATTTTCAAATTGGTCCTGCTAAAGTGTACCTACTAGCACGAAATGTATGTTTAGGACTTTCTGTCGGCTGAATCCTAACAACTCATGCTTCATTTTGAAAACACGCGAAAACAGTAATGTCATGTGTGTTTACGGTGGGAAGAAATGGTTATTATATTATGTTACGTAGAAAACTGTTTGAATGACGACTTACCATTTAAACGCACTTGAAAATTGACACTCTCTACATTTTTGAATGGGATGAATACTCTGGCAAAATAATCGGTCATCTAAATGAGTAGCATATTTAGTGAATAAAATTTGTTACTCATCTAAAATATCCAGCCAGTAAAATATAATTATGAAATGATGATCGAATATTAAGTAGTTAATTAAACAGAAAAAGAAACTCTCCTGAAAGGTAATCAACATTTACCATTTCTTTATTCGCTTGCAATGAAAAGGCTTCGAATATTGCTTTCAGTGGATTCTTTAAACGCGAAAAAATATAACAGTCCTTCTCACAATCTTGATATTAATCTATTGAGCTTGAAAGGTTGGCTTGAAGACGGGTATGTCAAAAAGACTTTATTTTAAACGATCGACACAGATGAATAAGCAATCGAAACAATGGCCTTAATAACCAAGACACGATAACTATTAAAATATGATGCATAATCATTAATCTACTGGTGTAAAAACCCTTCGCCAAATTCTTCCTTCTTCACAATTTCAAAGCCCAGTCCAGTTTGATATAATGCGATCCTAGACAAACAGTGGGATATTAACAACGTCAGTCAAATATTTTTAAGAGGCAGTACGCACCCACGACCAGGTTAGGGATCGAACTTAGGACCTTCGAGTTTCATGACGAACGCGTTAACCATCTAACAGCTGTGTTGGTTCTTAGTGATTCACAGTTTCCAAACCATGGTCTTCGGTTAGCATTCGCTTCCTTTCCGACTGGTTGACCCCACAGGTCACGGCTTCTCATTAAAACTTCGTGATATCCATCTACAAGCATGCCACTAGTGAGCACCATATAGCAATATATTTATGAGAGTTTATTTTCATGAGAAACCATTTTTGTGTGTTTGCCAGAACACTCTTCATGAAGAAAAATAACTAACTTCCAGAAATATATATTATGACTAAATTATGCACAGTAATAGTCTTATTGATAACTTTATCTAATTACTTAATGATAGGCTTCCTGTTTAGCGATTGATGTTGCCTATAGATTTCTAACCGTATGTATTTTGACGTTAAATGTTGAAATTCAGTGTAAAAGAAGGCCTAACCAACCTTCCTTTTGTGATAGGTAGCACTTATCAGCACGGCGTATCTGTAACCATGAGTGATTCAAACCTGTTTCACTCATCAATAGGGTCATAGACTTCCGCTTAGCTATTTGGAGCACAACTATCTACTAAGGAAACTGGATTTTGCACATGATAGGATTTTGTCACAGATAAACACTAAAGAGTAGGCAGCTATATTGGTTACCCACTATTGGCTTATTCGTTTATATTTCTAAGTGCTTCGGAATTCCAGTTTCTGATTTATTGTACCGATATACTCAGAGGTGTTTAACGTCTGATTTCGTCAACCCTAACTAAGGATTTTTCCCGCCAGCTTGTTTAGATTTTATGGCTCTATTCAGTATATCAATACTGACGAAATGTCAAAACATACTTTGAATATCTATAATTTACATCCTACTTCTAAACTGCCTCACTTATCCTGGTACTTCATCCGGTTCACAGACTGTTTCGTCTTACAACTGGAAATGAAAGAAATTGGATGCAAAAAAATTCATCTTGCACTGTTTAATATTCAATGACATTTGAAATATCTATATTGTTAGGAAACTATATCAATATCAAAGCGCCGTAGAAAGCATGCTGATAGTATTCACTACATATTTATTACCTGTGGCATCCATTGTTTGATGATTAGAGTTAAGATGTAGGCTTCATTAATGTAGATGAAAAATAGATGCCTTTCATGAATCCAAAAACATTTACTAAAGATGCATTTTCTGTATTATTAAACAAGATGCCTAGATGCAATGTAATAAAGGACTAGGGAAATTTCCCATACCACTGTATAAAATAATCACAATGAAATTAAAACTGTTTCGACTTTCAATAATTTTATTGCCTCCAAATGAATAAAGGAAAACTGGAGAAAATATTCTAAGAAAAAAACTAACGGAATAGCCATGTACTTGTTTGACCAACTTTTAGCCTTCATTCGCAGCATTCATATCCCAAGGCATTAAAAAACTAGTTTACTGGAATATGGTCAGTGAACATAATTACTACAAGATAATGTTTCATAATTTACCTGGAAAGATGGTGTAGTGGTAAATCATTTATTTACACTAGTTCACCATAATGAGCTTCGTTAAATGTTTATACAGATAGTAATACTTCTGTAACAGAATAGAATGAGGTTAAAAGATACCAGCACTAATGATAAAAATAAAATTGGTTTCATGATTTGACACAATAAGACTTTTCATGGTTAACCGTTGATGACTTTGAGTGCAATACACTTGATTTACAGTCTACTATGAATATTGTCACCTGATCAGGCTTCACAATACGTTTACCACTTTTTATCATGCTTTTTATCTGCATTATTGTCGTTTCATGCCCTTTTCAATACAAATGTTATGTACGATTATATGAGAGATATGCATTTAGTGATGTAATGAAGTGCTCATAGACATAGTAAGCAACCACATATTCTGTATCCATAATTATCAAATTTACAAGATATTTTAGTGAACGAAAAATATTCTTTCCAATGAATTTCTCATCTCCTACAGTTTTGCATCCAAATTACTCTAGAAGAAGAAAAAAATGTGTGTCAGAAATGCCATGAAAGATTTAATAGTATTGGATATTTCGAACGAATTGATTTTATTCAGTAAAAACTAAAAAGAATGATGATATTCAAGTTCATATGATGAAGGATTTCAGTCCTGTATACATCTACAGAAGATAATACTCTTTGTTATAGTAAATACTATAGTAAATTGTATTCAGTGTACATTTTTATGTCATAAGTTTATGCTCATAAGTATTCGTGACTGAAGCTTAAAAATGAATTATATTTAGTCTTATTATGAAGTTTCTGCGACAAACAAATAAATGAACTCAAATGAGATTACATGCAAGAAAAATAGAGTCTAGGGCTTTTTGTGCAGGTCTAAGTTTATAGAAGTAAGATTCCATAAACAAGGAAAGATAATTTAATGAATTTTAATTCAAATGAAATGTTACATTTGAAAGTGCACAAAATCACGCCTTTTTATTCCTAATAGCTACTCTTTCCGCAGTTTGTGACATTTGGAGCCTAGTGCCTTTCGGTAAGTTAACAAAGGCTCAATAAATAATATAAAATGACTCATTCATATACACCATACTCTTCCTCTGAAGTGTGTTAACGTGAAGCTAGAAGTGATCTTTATCCTTGCTTAATCACATCAGGAGAAGCTCACGAGTACAGAAAATTAAATTCATAGATTAGTAGCCGAAGTAACTGCTTCTACATCACCATTGAGAAGGATAAACACATCAAGAAGTGGTCAATCTATGTAGTTTACTTATCACTGTCGATGTCACCATTGAGAATGTGGAATTTATAACTTATGATCCCCCAGCATCGAAAGTTCCTTGAAATGATCTGCATGGTTTCCGAATCATTACCTCACACAAAATAACACTTTTTACTTGTATCTGTATCTGCATGTGCATGGATTTTCTTCTAGCAGTAGGAATATCGTTCCATTCTACTTTTCAAATGATATCCTTCTATATGAATTTATCCAAACAAATGTTTTCATCAAGTGTGTTGTGTAAAGTTAAGAATTTATCATTATTTGTATCTTTCAAATCCATAATTCTCATTCTATGACTCAGTTTTTATATAATTTTGTTTATACTAAGGGTAGACGAAATTAAGAAAATATGTACCCCGTTCACTGCTATGAAACCTTTCACAGTGTTTATTCGTTTGTTGTATACTTTGCCTAGTTAAAAAGTTCTACTTACTGAGTTTAGAAAGTTTATTAAAGACAGAAAGTTAAT